AGAGAATAGCATTGATTATAAAAAGACTTTCTCTCCGGTTTCATCGAAAGACTCTTTCAGCACTATAATGGCTTCAGTGGTGCACTTTGATCTTGAGTTACATCAGATGGATGTTACAACAGTATTTCTCAATGGTGACATTGATGGGATGATTTATATGGTGCAGCCAGAAAACTCCGTATCGGACGATGCGAAACAAATGGTTTGTAAACTAGAGAAATTCATTTATGGACTTAAGCAAACTTCCAGTCAATGATATCATAAATTCCATCAGGATATGATCTCATTTAGTTTTGAAATAAATATAGTGGAAGATTGTGTATACCATAAGTTTAGTAGGAGTAAATATATGTTTTTAGTTTTATATGTCGATGAGGTACTGTTTGCCAGCAGTGATATAGGCTTACTGTACGAAACTAAGAGATTTTTGATAAAATAATTTGAGCTAAATTTTTTTTGAGATGCATATTTTTTATTAGGAATTCAGATACACCGTGATCACTCTCGATGTATTCTTGGATTATCACAAAAGAGCTATATCAAAAAAGTTCTTAAAAGATTTAGCATATAGGAATGTAAACTGGGTGACACCTCCGTGTCTAAAGGAGATAACTTTACTCTTATTCATTGCCCCGAGAATGACTCTGAGACCAATGAGATACAAACGATTCCTTATGCTTCAGTTATAGGGAGTCTTACATATGTAGAGCTTTGTACGCATCTGGATATTGCGTTCATTGTTAAGATTTTAGGGAGATATTTAAGCAATCTAGGTATGAATCATTGAAAAGTAGCCAAACGCATTATGTGGTATCTTCAAAGAATAAAAGACTATATGCTCACATACAAGAGATCAGATCAGTTGGAGATCATTGGTTATTCTCATTCTGATTTTGCCAGATGTCAAGACAGCAGGAAGTCCATATAAGACTATATCTACTTGCATGCTAGGGGAGTTATTTCCTAGAAGAGCGTTAAGCAAACCCTCATAGCATTTTTCACCATGGTAGAAGAGTTTATAGCATGTTATGAGGCGTCCAATCATGGAACATGGCTGTAAAATTTTATCACTGAGTTGTGCATTGTTGATGGTATAAAAATACCGTTAAAGTTATTTTGTGACAATAGATATATAGTTATGTATTTCAACAATAAAAAGAGTCCAACAAAATCAAAACATATACATATCAAGTTCCTAGTTCTTAAAGAGAGAGTTTAGAGTAAGTAGATATCAATAGAGCACATCAAAACGAACTTCATGGTTGCGGATCTACTCACAAAGGATTACCACCTAAAGTATTTCATGAGCACATTACTCATATGGGTGTAGTACTTTTTGATGATGTATAGTTTTAGTAGAAGTTTTGCACCATAGTTGTTTTTATGATACAGACATGTCATAAGTTTTGTATTTTGAATTTAGTTTATGGATTCTATAATTAATTTCAATTATAATATTTTTGTTTATATTTATATTTTATCTCTGAATTTTTTTGCAGTTGATCTCACTAGCTTAAGGTAGGACCAGTTGGAAGTAGACATGCTTAGATCACATAACATGTAATTTTCATGTTGTACATCCAACTTGATCCATGTCATCAGTTATACTGATTATATGACTATTGTTGGGTTTAACTACAACAGTTGTAGCAAAAACTACTTTGATCCTATGTCATTATGATCGATGGACAAGATTGTTTAATGATGCATTTAGGTATTGATAGAAACGTTCTGAATACTCTTTTAATTATTTAACACACATGTTAAGGTGTCACATAAAGACCACGTAAGAGATTGTTGAATTTTTTATCCATAAATAGGCTTAATGTGGGTCTTGGTATACTAACAGGCTATCAATTTATTGAGTCTGTTTAAAAGTGATCAATTACAATCAAACAACTATGAGCCTTAATGCATCGAGTTTAAGTATGAACTTGTAATATGTGCAGATATCATATTTATAATTTCTTATTTTACGATGGGTAAAATGAGAAATGATAAAAGTTAACAATATAAAAAGGCAGTTATAGTCCCCAAGTCATACGTAGGGTTATAAAAAGGCGGCATGCTTAGATCGCATAATATGTAAATTTCATGCTACACATCCATATTTGATCCATGTCGTTCGGTTATACTAATATACGTGACTATTACTGGATTTAACTACGACAGTTGTAGTAAAGACCGCTTTGATCCTATGCCATTATGATCGATGAACATGATTGTTTGATTATGCATTTAGGTATTGAGAGCAAAATTTTGAATATTCCTATAGTTATTTAATGCACATTTTAAGGTGTCACATAAAATCGAAATAGAAGATTGTTGAATTTGTTATGTATAAATGAGCTAAATATGGGTCTTGGTGTACGTAACAGACTATCAATTTATTGAGCTTGTTTAAAAGTGATCAATTACAGTTAAACAATTATGAGTCTTAATACATTGGATTTAAGTATGAACTTTTAATATGTGTATATATCATATTTGTATTTCTCATTTTATAATGGGTAAAATGAGAAATGATAAAAGTTAACGATATAAAAAAGTAGTTATGATCCCCAAGTCATATGTAGGGTTTTTATTATCCCATCAACAAAAGAAACAAGTTGATAGGCTACGTGTTAATTTGGAAGACTTATTGTACTATACGAAAAATTTTTCCGTCATGAATTTAGGTACACTTCCGTATTCATTATTTTTTATTCAGTATAAGATTTGTTTACAATTTTTAGATCTAGTTTGATTTAATTCTAACATAATATGCATAAAATAAAATATCATGAAGTTTTTTAAAAAAAATAGTTTAATTTCAGAAAGATATACAAAATTAGTAGTTTGCTTATTGAAATCAAATTTATTTATATTTATTTGTATTGGTTAAATATGCTTAAAGAAACAACATACAATATTCATTTTTATTATGCTTGGAATAATTATTGGATTTTCTTAACTAAAAGAATAAACAAAAAATTTGTTAACTAGTTTTTTAACAAATTTATATATTAACTAATGAAGTAATACACATACAGTAATAATAATATAATAAAAATAATTTTCAAAAATTTCTTAATTAAAAAAATAAACAAAAAAATTTGTCAAATAATTTTTGAACAAATTTATATATTGATTAATGAAATGATACACATACACTAACAATAACATAATAAAATTAATTTCTAAAAAATAACATATATGGAAGTACAATTTAATTTAAATATATATATTTTTTATAAATGAAGAAATATATTAACAATGCAGGTAAATATTAGTTAGTCAAACAAATTATTAAAATTATAGTTACAAAAGAGATAATAATAGAGAAAATAATATTTTGTATATTAAATAAGTTTTAAACCGAATCAGTAAATTTTTAATCCATTTAGAACCTAATACTCATAATCAAAAGGAAATATTATACTTACATAATTTCCATTTAGAACCTAAAAACTTAAACTCTAATTTTAACAAAGACTAGACAATTTTTATTATAATTTAAAATCCTAAAAAATCAAGTATTTGAAGAAATACATTTATATTAACGCAAAAAAATAAAAATAAAAATAAAAATTAATGGGTATTTAGTCACGTGTATTAAACAAATGAGAACTGCAGAAGCACAGCATTTTTGGGCAACTGCTTCTAGATATTTTCTAACCTAATGGGCCTTTAAATACCATCAACGTCTCGTTGGCCGGTTGAACTTGCCAGTCAAGCATCCTTTCATGAGTGTTATCTTCTTTAAAATAAAAGCCTAATTTTCGTTGTGGCATTTTGAAAATTGCCCAATTTTAATTTCTTCTACCTTTAAAAACAAGCTCAGGCTCCTTGCAGAAACCAGTGCTTCATCAAGATGTCAGATCAAACTCATCCATCCCCTCCCATCGTTGACCCATACCAGTACCTCCAGATCATCCCAAACCCAGATGGTACCATCACCCGCAACTTCAACTCCTTCCCAAAGATCCCTTCCGCACCGGATTTTACCCACACCGCCCCTGTTCTAACCAAGGATATTCCCATCAGCCCTTCAAACAACACCTGGTTCCGTCTTTACCTCCCCACCACCGCCCTGACTTCCTTCTCCTCCGACAACAAACTCCCTCTTATTGTCTACTTCCACGGCGGAGGTTTTGTCCTCTGCAGCGCAGAGCATTCCATCTTCGATGATTTCTGTGCCAACCTGGCCACTGATCTCCATTTAATCGTTGCATCCGTCGAGTACCGTCTGGCGCCGGAACACCGCCTCCCGGCAGCCTACGATGACGCCATGGAATCTCTGCACTGTATCAAAACAATCGAAGATGATTGGTTAAAGAGGTATGCGGATTTTTCCAAGTGTTTCATTATGGGTATTAGTGCAGGTGGTAACATAGCGTACCAAGTAGGACTACGAGCTGCCGACGCGGTCGATGATGTCAGTCCTATAAAAATCAGAGGGCTGATATTGCAGCAACCATTCTTCGGTGGGGTGGAGAGAACAGGATCAGAGCTTAGATTGATGAACGACCCGAGGTTGCCGCCGATCGTTTGCGATTTGATGTGGGATCTGTCGTTGCCCGTTGGCGTTGACCGTGATCATGAGTATAGCAATCCAAGAGCATCAACGGGGTTAGAGAATGTGAAGAAGCTGGGGTGGAGGGTGCTGGTGACGGGATGCGATGGGGACCCTCTTATCGACAGACAGATTGAGTTGGTGAAGATAATGAAGGAAAGAGGTGTTGAAGCAGTTGGCCATTTTAGCGTGGGAGATTATCATGGAGTGGAGGTGATGGAACCCAGCAAAGCTAAGAAATCGCATGCGGTAATAAAAGATTTCTTGTCTTCAGCTTCCATTTAATTCGGATTGAAAAGTACGCATTTGGTTAAGGAATAAGTGAACATTTGGTTCCGGTTTCAATTTTAAATTTAACGT